ATACCTGTACAAATAATCCCTTCGGGGATTTTTCTCTCAAAACTCAAATTCAGTCTAAAACATGCCAGATCTCACCCAATACAACAAAATGACTTGAATCATAGGAAATGCCAAGCAATGGCACAAATGAACCCTAAACACAAGCTCTAGATATGCATTTTCACAAGACAAATGCATAAACACTCACATTTCATAGCAAAGCACAAGTAGAATCCAAGAAATCACATATAGGTACGCAAAATAGGTTTTAGTAGAGCATGGGTTACCTCTTGTAGACCAAAAGACTTCACTTACACCTCAACAAGCTCCCCACAAGGCTTACTTTCCAAACCCACTTCAAGAACAAACCAAACGATCATAAAGATCCTACCTTTAAGAAAAAGACATCTAAGATGGAGCCAAAAACACAAGATGGACTTAGTTCTTACCCTGCTAGATGCCCAAATAGGTGAAAGGTTGAATCTTGGAAGCAAATCTTGGAATCTTGGCAAGGGCTCAACTTAGCTTGGAGAAAAAACTACTCGCCTTTCTAGAGAGAAGGTAGAGCTAATATTTTAGAAAGTGTAAGGGATGAAATGAAGATGTCTTCTAGGTTAGGTTACAATACTAACACTTGGTGAAAGGTCAAGAATGCCATTACTAACATTTAGAAAGTGTAAGGAACAAGGGAACTCTCTTCAAAGCTCAAGGTACAACATGACTTTGAAGTTGACTAGTCAAATACTAGTCCTCAAGTATTAAAAATCAGGATTTTAGGAATCAATTCCTCAATTAAGATAGGATTAATTACTCAATTAATCCATGGATTGAATGTTGATTTTTGGGGTGTCACACTCAACACCCGAAGATGCAAAATCCCACCCAAACATACCAAGAATAACACAATACGAAATCCACGTTTTAACCCTAGGGCTCTAGTCATAATTAAAATACAAGATCATTTATATAATTTACCTTAGAATCAGGAACATCAAGATTATCACATAAGCATCAAGATCAACACATAAACATCAAGATCATCTCATGAACATCCCAATTATCTCATAATCATCATATCAATCTCAGGAAAAGCCTAATCAAGACGCAAACACAGAATCACATATCAAAGGAACCAATGAAGGAGATTAAAGCGAGGAAAATTGGCTTTGTTGAGACATAGGTTACCTCTTAGTCTTAATTAGAATCCTTGGCTTCTAGGGTTCTTTCTCTAAGATCTTCTCTTCACGATTTCTCCTATGTTTGGTGATAGGGGAATTCTTGAGAATTCTTGTGTGGTGGAATCTATTGTGGTGTGATTTCTAGGTGCCTCCTAGGTCCTTATATATATATATATATATATATATATATATATATATATATATATATATATATATATATATTTAAGATTACTAACTAAGGTCTGAAAGGTAGGGATTCTCTTATTCTATTCCTTATAGGTCTAAGGGTTTGGTTTAGGGATAAGGGTCCATGATCCATGTTGGACCCTTCTCAATTAATTAAGGGAATTCAATTCTCTTTTAATGGTACGCAATTAAATAATTAGTTTGGGTTAGAGGCCATAACACAGGGTGTTACACCCTCCCCCCCTAACGGAAAGCTTCGTCCCCGAAGCTTAGATTTGCTAAGGTCGACCACCATTCCTTATCCTAAGGGTTCGTCTTGGTTACCTCGTGTGAAAACCTCAGGGTAGCGTTCCCTCATGCTAAGGTCGACCATCATTCCCTGATTGGACCAGAGGATCTTTACCATTTCTATGGTCCTTTGGCGAGTGGCCCTTGTCTTAGTGTCCAAGATCCTTACGGGTTTCTCCTCGTAAGTCAGTGTGTCGTCCAGGCTTACTGTCTTGGGTTGTAATACGTGACTTGCATCATGTACGTATTTCTTTAGTTGCGATATGTGGAACACGTTGTGCACTCGTTCTAGCTCGACGGGTAAGGCGAGGCGGTAGGCCAAGTTCCCGACTTTCTCTAAGATTTCGTAAGGACCAATGAATCGGGGACTGAGTTTCCCCTTCTTTCCGAACCTCATCACCCCCCAAGTGGGTGAGATCTTTAGCCAAACTTTCTCTCCTTTGGAGAATTCGGCCTGCTTCCTACCCAAGTCGGCGTAGGACTTCTGGCGGTCCAGGGCGGCCTTCATTCTTTCTTGTATGCGTTTGACTTTAGTTATGGTGTCCTGTAGGTATTGTGGTCCCATGGTTACTGGATTGACCATGTCTTCCCAACATATTGGTGTCTTACATTTTTTACCATATAGTGCCTCGTTGGGAGCCATGCGGAGGCTTTCATGATAGCTGTTGTTGTATGAGAATTTGATAAGGTTTAAGTGTTCTTCCGATGTCCCCTGGAAGTCTATCATACAGGCTCTTAGCATGTCTTCGAGAGTTGGAATTGTCCTCTCGGTCTGGCCGTCGGTAGTGGGGTGGAAGGCGGTGCTTAAGCTTAGTCTTGTTCCCATGGCCGTCTGTATTGATTTCCAGAATTGTGAGAGGAATCTGGGGTCCCTATCGGTAATAATGTTTCGGGGGACTCCGTGGTATTTCACTAACTGGCTTAGGTAGGCACTAGCTAGTTGTGTCATTGTCCAGGTTTCTTTCATGGCAATGAACCGTGTTGTCTTGGTTAGTCGGTCCACTATTACCCAGATTTTGTCCTTCCTCGTTGGTGTTGTGGGAAAACCTCCTACGAAGTCCATAGATATCGAATCCCACTTCCCTTGGGGTATTTCGAGGGGTTGTACGAGTCCCTTGGGCTTGCACCGTTCGGCTTTTACTCTTTGGCAGTTCAGGCATTTGCTCACGAAGTCTGCGACTTCCTTTTTCATGTTGGGCCACCAAAACAACTTCTTCACATCTTGGTATATTTTATCGCCTTCGGGATGCACGGAGTATGGCGAACTATGCCCTTCCTCTTGGATTTGTTATTTTAGGTGGGGGTGTGTTGTGGGTACGCACCATCTTCCCTGATAGCGGAGGCTGTCATCATTAAATAGCTTGAATGGTCCGTCCTTTCCCTGGGCCAGGTCGAGTCGTATTTTATCTAACCCAGGGTCTTGTTGCTGCCCGGCATTGATTTCTTCGAGTAATGTGGGTATGATCCTAAAATTAAATAGGTGGATTTCTGAATTTGTTCGTCCCTGCTCAACTATTTCCAAATTTAACTTTTGAAATTCCTTACATAGTTCGTCTGACAGGACCCGGGTGGTACTGAGGGAGTGGTTAGTTTTTCGACTTAGTGCGTCCGCCACTACATTAGCTTTTCCATCGTGGTACTGAATATCCAAGTCATAATCTTTTATGAGTTCCAACCATCGTCGCTGCCGCATGTTCAGATCCTTTTGAGTTGCCTGGATGCGTATGATATTACTTTGCCATTTTGCATTAGTGCGCACCCCAGTCCCTTTTTAGAGGCGTAGCTGAAAACATCGAATCCCTCTACCCCTGAGGGTAGCACTAGTACGGGGGCTGTGGTCAGCCTTTCTTTTAGCTCTCGAAAGGCCGAAGCGCAATTGTCGTCCCATTTGAACGGGGTATCTTTCTTCATGAGTCTGGTTAGGGGTTGGGCTATCTTGGGGAAATTGGGTACAAACCTCTGATAGTAGCCGGCCAGACCAAGGAAGCTCCTGACCTCTGAAATTGCCTTTGGTGTGGGTCATTCCTTGGCTGCGTGGACCTTGGTTGGATCCACCCTGATCCCTTCCTTGGTTATCACGTGTCCCAAGAATGCCACGATGTCCTTCCAGAATTCGCATTTAGAGAGTTTGGCGTATAGCTGGTTTTCCCTCAGAGTTTGCAGGGTTGTGCGGATGTGCTTCTTGTGTTCCTCTTTGTTTTGTGAGTAGACCAAGATGTCGTCAATAAACAAAATTACGAATTCATCTAGGTTGGGCCGAAATACTCTGTTCATGAGGTCCATGAATACTGCGGGTGCATTGGCTAGCCCGAAGGGCATCACTGTGAACTCATAGTGGCCGTAGCGGGTCTGAAAGGCTGTCTTTGGGATATCTGGGTTGGCCACTTTTATCTGGTGGTATCCGGATCTTAAATCGATTTTTGAGAACACCCCTGCTCCCTTGAGTTGGTCGAACAAGTCGTCTATTCGGGGAAGGGGATACTTGTTCTTTATAGTAACTTGCTTTAGTTCCCTGTAATCGATGCATAGTCGCATGCTTCCATCCTTCTTTTTGACGAACAGTACCGGTGCCCCCCATGGCGAGATGCCGGGGCGTATGTACCCTTTATCTAGTAAATCATGTAGCTGTGTTTTCAGTTCCTTCATTTCCTTTAGTGCCAACCTATAGGGTGGCTTTGAGATTGGGGCAGCGCCGGGCACCAAGTCTACGGTAAATTCCACTTCCCTTAGTGGAGGTACCCCGGGGATTTCATTTGGGAAAACATCTGCGAACTCGTCTACCACCGGGATTGTTCGAGGCTCGACTGTCTTGGCACCGAGATCCTCGACCGAGCATAGGAAGGCTTCGTGTCCTTTTGTCAGGTACTTCCTCATTTTCATCATGTTTACTAGTTTGACTCCCGAACTCTTGGGGGATCCGTGGTAGGATACCCGTTTGTCGTTTGGTCCCCTCAATACCACTTTTTGTTCGCCGCATAGGATCTGTGCCCTGAATTTTCCTAACCAGTCCATACCCAAGATCACTTGTATTCCGTCCAGTCTGAATTGTATTAGGTTGCTAGGGAACTCTATTCCCCCGATGGTGATCATTATGTTATTGTACATGCGATCGCACTTCATTACTTCGCCTGATGCTACTTTGACTTGCAGTTGTACTCTTTTGTTGGCGGTTAAGCCGAGTTGCGTGGCGAATTCAGTTGCTATGAATGAATTGGTGGCTCCTGAATCAAATAGTACGACGGCAAGGATGGTGTGCACGAGGAAGGTCCCGGTGACTATGTTGTTGTCCCCGATTCGGGCTCTGTTCATGGTAAGGATCCTTCCCTGGGTGACTCCTGTTTTCTTTGTGGGGACCGGTGCTATTGCTTCTTAGGGCGGGGTGGCCCTGGCAATCTTTGATTCCCGCAGGGGGGTTGCATGATTCTCCCCAAATTTCCTTTTGTGTCCCTTGTGTGTCTCCGGTGTGCTGTATGGTATTTGTTGGAGTTTGGCTGCCTTGGTATAGGCTTCTTCGAGTGTCTTTGGTTTGTGTAAGATTAGGGCCTTCCGGCTTTCGAAGTTGAGGCCTGTCACGAATTTCTCTATTTTGGTTGATTCTGTAGGTACTTGCTCGGGCGTGAGACGAGCTAGCTTGAGAAACTGTTTGTGATATTCCGTGACCGTGGCTGTTCCTTGCTTTAGGTGGAGGAATTCTTCGTACATGGCTGCCCTTATGTGAGCGGGGCAGAATCGTTCTCGTAGTCGTACTTTCAGGGATTCCCAGTTGAACCCCGGTTCTTGTTTGTAAGCAGGTCCCTCGTGGAGCCACCAAAGATCGGCTTCGTGTCCGAAATAGAAGGAGGCTACTTCTACATGGCGTTTCTCCGGGCATTCGACTGCTTCGAAGATTTTGTCAAAGGTTCGGATCCATTCTTCGAGAATTGTGGGGTCTTCTTCCCCTGAGAAAATGGGTGGTTGATGTTTTGAGAATTGGTGGTCGACTTCTGAGTCCCCATTTGTTGGTGGTGGTGGCGGTCGGTTATTGTTATGGAGGATAGCGTTGCTTAGTGTCTGGGCAACTTGGGCTAGTTGCTGCAGATTCTGGATCAAGGATTCGTGTGCGGAGGGTTCCGGTGTCTTTGACTGACTTCTTGTTGGCGTCATCCTGACGGTCTACAGGGCCAATATTGTTTGTAATGTTAAGTTAGTGGGTTGCATCCTTACCTTAAGCACAGGATAGAGTGAGGGGGAGTTAGGTATGTAATAATAGGTAAACTCACAATCTCACCGCGCGTCCTAGGTTTCCTGAATCCTATGTTCCTAAATACCTAGAGTTCCAGCTTAATGTCCTAAAGTATTGTCTTAAGAGTCTTATCCTAGGGTTAAACTTAGGCTCTGATACCAACTGTAACACCCCTAAATTTTTAAACTCTGAATGCTTATGAAATAAAGGCAATTCCGTCATTAAATCCCAAACAGAGCATAACTAAACATAATTGTTGGGGTGATATGCCACATCTGAGCTGGAGAACTCAAATATACAGGCTAAACTATCTAAACAACAGAAATCCTCAAATCAATGTCAAGTACATCATCATGGCACGCAGGTCGATAAAAGAACTAAACTAGCTAAGCCCACGGGTCCAACTAGCGCGCTCTGAAGCTACTCATCTGTGCCTGAAAGCCAAATATATATGTTTAGCGAATAATGCTCGTAACCCACTCCAATGCGTTAAATACAATATAGGTATATATATAAGGAAAATCATTTTGAAGCCGGAATACATATATACTTATGAAACTCTAATTTAAAACCGAGAACAGACTCAATCAAGCAAGGGTAGGCACATTCAACAGAATGAATCACGCGTATAAAGATACTAGCATGCATCCTAAGGTCACAAGACTATTCCATACCAATCATAACAGTATTCCATCACTATTTCAAACACGTAAACACATTTGGTGGTGCCGCAGGACCAATCGCATGCCCATACATGAGGGTCAACGCATATAGCTCTGACACGGCCCCGAAGCACCCTGCTTGTACCGCAGCACAAGGTGATTGATTGCAACCAATCGATGAACCGTAGCTCATTTATAACGTTTGAGCGCAACCAAACAGTGTACCGCAGCCCGAATAGTATGTATATCTGATCGCAACCAGATTATGGACCGCATCCCTATATATATTTATGTCTAACAACCGATGGTTCTCAACCCATCTAACTGCCTGTATAGCCGACCGATCACAACCGGACGGGGTTAACAGCGATGGTTCTCATCCCATCCAACTGCCTATATAGCCAATTGATCGCAACCAATTGGGGTATCATGCACAAATAACACATAGTCAAGCACATGCAACCCACATTAACACATAAGGAGGGGGGAATCACTGGGGAACACTTATCCTATTATAACTTATGTGTGGTCAACCACATTAAACTACTCGAGACGCGCCTAAGGGGTCATGCACCTTCCTCCTAGGCCAACGGGGTACCAATTCGACTAGCATGCAATATACAAGACCCTTTTTATCCTAAGAATGGAACCCGATACATCAAACTAGACTCACATACGACAAACGGGGTACAATGGGATACACGGGACACGGGGAAACATTAAACGGGGAAAAACACAACAATCCACACCGGAATTCCAGCGGGTGGAGGGCCACCAGTCGGGTGCCCGCCGGCGGCGAGTCACGAGGCAGCAGGTGCCCCTGCCCCTGCCCCCGGCGGCGAGTCACCAGGCTGTGTTTGGGCAGCGAAATTTTTAAAACTTTTTAATCTTATAATATGAAAGCAATTTTATTAATCAATCCCAAACAGAGCATTCTAAACATAAGGATCTGGGGAGTTATGCCACATCTGAGCTGGAGAACTCAGATGCACAGTCTACATTAACTAATTTTTCTCAAACAACGTCATTACATCATCAAGGCACGCAGGCCGGAAGGAAAGACTAACTATATGAGCCGAGGTCCACTAGTGCGCTTTGGTAGCTAATCATCTGTGCCTGAAAGCCAAATATATCTTGTGACACCCCGAAATCCAAATTCAACTAAGGGATTAATTGAATAATTAATCCTCTTTCAATTGGTGATTTAATTCCTAAAATCCTGAAAATTCAATAGTCGGGGACTAGTAATTGACTAGTCAACCCCTAAGTCAAAGTTATACCTTAAGCTTTGTAAGGAGTTCCCCTGTTCCCTTACACTTCCTTATGTTAGTAAGGGTATTCTTGACCTTTCACTTGTTGTTAGTATTGTAACCTAACCTAGTAGACCACCTTCATTCTTTCCTTATACTTTCTAAAAATCTAGCTCCACCTTCTCTCTAAAAAGGTAGATAGCTTTTCTTCCAAGCCAAGTTGGAGCCTTGCCAAAACTTCAAGAGTTGCTTCCAAGATTCAACCTTTCATATATTTTGGCATCTAGGAGGGTAAGATCTAAGTTCATCTTGTGTTTTTAGCATTATCTAAGGTGTCTTTTCTTAAAGATAGGATCTTTATGATCTTTTGGTATGTTCTTGAAGTGGGTTTGGAAGGTGAGCCTTGTGAGGAGCTTGTTGAGGTGTAAAGTGAAGTCTTTAGTCCACAAGAGGTAACCCATGCTCTACAAAATCTATTTTGCTTAGCTATATGATGATTTATTGGATTCTACATGTGTTTTGCTATGAAATGTGAGTGTTTATGCATTATCTTGTGAAAATGCATATCTAGAGCTTGTGTTTAGGGTTCATTTGTGCCATTGCTTGGCATTTCCTTTGATTCAAGTCATTTTGTTATATTTGGTGAGATTTGGCATGTTTTGGACATGAATATGAGTTTGGAGATGAAAATCCCCGAAGGGATTGTTTTGTGTAGGTATGGGTACCCGCGGGCGGAACGGCGGGTAGGGGTCTAACCCGCCGCCCACCCGCGGGGTACAAAGAGGTGGATGACCTATACCCGCGGGTGGAACCACGGGTAGGGGCCTACCCGTGGGCCTACCCGCGGGGTACACCTTGGTGTTGTTTGGGGATTTGTTTCCCGTGATCCTTTTGACTCGATATTTGGTCTTTTAACTTCCTGTTGTTCTTTTGTGGAACTATTTGAGCGTCTTCTTGACGTTTCGTATGTCTAGAACTATATGGTAGGTATCCATGTAGGTTTTGGTGTCTTGAATCATGTTAAGTGTTCAACATTGTGATTCGTTGAACCGTGATGAGTCTTGTGTGTTCTTCGAAACTACGTTTGGTTTACCCGTTTGATAAGCATGCTAGTTCGGTGTTTAAATGCTAGCATGTGTGTTGTTTGTACCTTCTTAATGGTTGATGATAACTTGTGTTATTCATCGTTCTTGTTGTTGGACTGTGATTCATTCCTTGATTGAGTATGGTTTCATACCTTCGTCGTGATCCGTTGATTGATTCCTGTTGAGGTGTGATGTGTGTGTGGCTTTACCCGGATTGCACAATTAGTGGTATGGGACACTAGTCACCAAGGTATTGCAGTGGTCCTCGTGGTGGCCATGACGTGATTATGGAGTTGTGACCTGTGTGTCAGGTTCACGTATTTTGGGAGAGGCATGTGTTGCCGTGTGCGTGATCGGTACCCTCGTGTACTATGAAATCGGTGGTTTTGTTGGCAGTTTGTCGGCGGATGGGGACGACGGTCCTCGGAGGGAAAAGGTTGGACTTGGTGTACAGGGGTCCTGGAGGTAATGGTTGGAAGAAGAAATAAGGTTGGGGTAGCCATAAGGTTGAAACCGGGCATAAGGAAGGCATATCAACTCGTGATGGGTGATGTCATGAGGGCTTGTGTAGCCGTTGTTGTGAGTTCTCTTCTTGTGACGTGTGTAGTCACAAAGGCATGTGTTGCCATTGGTCTTATCTTTATCCTTTTGAGTTGTTGTTGTCCTTGTGGTCTTGGGATGTCTTCCCGTGTTCTTGTTGAGAGTGTTATGTCTTCTGTTGACTATTACTCTTGGTTTTGTACTTATATACTTATGTATTCCGTTTCGAAAATGGCTTTACAAATTATATCTTACCTATGTATGTTATTTCACATGTATTCGTGGGTTACCAGCATTATTCGCTGACCGGGCGTCGTCCCATGTTTATTGTGTTCTTTCAGGTGATGTCTAGGCAAGTGCGCGGTCTAGTACTTGCTAGTATAGCTTCTCCCTTACGTTTTGTGGCCTGTGTGCCAACTTAGATGTAGAACAATGAGACAATGGGTTTACATTTAAACATTGCAGATGTTGCCTGTATGTGCGTTCATCTCTTTTGTGAACGTGGCATAGCACCCTGTATTCCAGTTTATTTATATACATCTATCTTTCAGTCTTCCGCTGTGATTGTTGTTTGTTTTAGTTATCTGCATGTTTAAGGCATTAAAATAGCATGTCTTTAGGGGGTTAAAATACAATATAAGTAAATATATATATATATATATATATATATATATATATATATATATATATATATATATATTGATTGAATGATGATGTGAATGACATGAAAGTAAACTGCGACCTTAGATACACACACACACATATATATATATATATATATATATATATATATATATATATATATATATACATACATATATATGTATATATATGTATATATATACATATATATAGATATAGGAAAACCATTTTGAAGCAGGAAGATATATACTTAGGAGACTCTAGCTTTAAAACCAGGATTAGACTCAACAGATAGGGGTAGGCACATTCAACAATTATAATCATTTATATAGAGACAACATCATATATATATATATATATATATATATATATATATATATATATATATATATATATATATATATATATATATATATATATATATATATATATATATATATATATATATATATATGTATCTAAGGTCGCAGTTTACTTTCATGTCACTCACATCATCATTCAATCAATATCCTTGTCACACAAGCATACTTTGGTGGCGCCACAGGACCAATCGCATGCCCATACATGAGGGTTAGCGCATATAGCGCTGACACGGCCCCGCAGCACCCTACCTCATACCGCAGCATGACGGAATTGACCGCAGCCAATTTGTATTGACCGTCGATGAATTCAACGGTGGGCCACAGTCCTACACACCGCAGACGCGTTCAGTCGGTGGACTGTGATTCTCTTTTGGGGACTA